CATAGGATAAAACCTAAGGTCCCCAATCATGCAACCAGATTCAACTAAGTTATAGTTGCTGTGTAGAAGAATTCAGACAGGCCCCAAGTCTTACTCACATATACAAAGATTTCCTCATTTACAAGTAGTTTTTAAAATATCTCCCCCTTGCTAAAAAGGATTTTACTCTGTGTGTTTCAATGAAATTTAAAGTCCCTTTTTTAACCTTAACTCAATCATCACATCAACAGAAGGCCACAGAATTGTTTGAGCTTTTACATATACCTAAATTAAATCTTTCCCTAAAGACAAAAAACAGATTTAGGCCCATTTAAAGTTAGTTTTATTTCTACAATTAAACAGTTCATTTTAATCGTGCAAGTGAAACCTATAGACACTTTCTCTCTAACACAGAAGACAAGGTTGGGTGGGCTAATTAACAAAGCACTGCCGGTCCTGAGTCTTGAAAAATCACAGATCAAGTCCTCAAAATCATGAGATTATTTTAATAATAAGATTTTAAAAATTATTTCTTGTTTCTAAACTTTTACATTATATTCAGATCACATTTTCAAGCTTTCCCCTGCAACCATGAGTGCTAGAGACTTCTTTTTAATGAAGGTATTTGTACAAGGTATTTGTACAGCACCTAGCAAAATGGGGTCCTGATCTACGACTGCGGCCCCAAAGTGCTTCAGAAATACAATAAAATAATAATCATCAAGATTAACTGGGTCATTCCAAATGGCAGAACAGGAGGCTTGGTGTTCGCCTGGCGAAAATCCCAGGGAGCTAGGACCATCCCCCCCCCCCTCCGCACGAGTGGGGCTGGCAATGGGGCCGCGGGGCGTCGTTACCCGGGGAAGGCACAGAGGGGGCAAAGCAGGGGGTGTGGCCAAGGTCTGAAGCTCACCCCTGGGATGAGGGAAGGGAACGAGGGGGCAGGACGGGTTATTGGAGGCTGATGCGCTTGTCCAGTGGGAGCGCCCACAGCGCGGGCCGGGCCAGGGGATGAGCGATCCAGGGCAGCCGCCGCGGCGGCCTGCCCCCGGGCCGGGGGGGGGGGCGCGGTAGGGAGTTTCACCTGAGGAAGCGCTCCGGCTGGGCCGCGGCAGCACCTAGCACCTTCAGACACGTCTCCAGCCGCCGGCTGGGCGCCGCCATCTTCAGCCTCCACTCAGAGCACACGAGGGGAGAGGTCTGGAGGAGGGACCTCAGTCACACCAGGGCTCCGGCGAGCAAGTCCGCCAACCCGCTCCGGACACCAACGCGGGCACTGTCAGAAAGGTTCCGCTTCGTAAGGGTTCCGCCTCGGGATCCTTCTTTGTCACCAGCCGGGCGGCCATGTGTGCCACAGGGTGGGACACACTCCCGGAAGGGGAGGGGATTGCAAGGCCCGGGCACTCGTTCACGCCAGCAAATTCCTGCCCCCACGGGAGTAGCTTCCAAAACAGCTTTCAAATTTATCACAGAGGAGAGTCTCTGGGTGCCCACGGAAACCGCACTGCCCCCTGCACCACGTGGGCCGCACGTCCGCGCCTTAACCCCCCCGCCCCTCCCCGGCTCTTCTCGAGCACAAGGGGGCTGCGCTGCCCCCAGCGCTCTCAGTCTCTGCAGGCCCTGACTGCGCTGCCCTTGCCAATGTCATACCTGCCTAGCTACCGCCCAGCAGGCTTGATGCTGTCGCAGCAGTAGATGGCCATGCTATGGAAGGAGAGAGTCCGAGAAAGGCCCCAAAAGGAGGCTGTTCAAACTTACAGACATGGTGTTATTGGCCAGTCACCTAGCACAAGGTTTTTCTCATTTAATTTTGAAAATGGTAGGAGGTTCTTTTTCTCCATAGGCAAAGAGAAACCCAGGGAATCACTGATGGCTTGTTCCCCCAAATAAGTTCTGTGTCTGTAGGTGACCAAGGTGACCACCCCTCTGCCACCTCCTTTCCTCTCTGGTCTACTCTCTCTCCCTTCATAGGATGACTTGCTTTTGAGAGTGAAACTGGACACCCAGCAGAGAGAGTTAAAGGGGGAGGATTTGATGAAAGATTGGGAGTGTTTTGACAGCTCTCTCAATCACATCCTCTCTCCCCCTATCCATCACCCTTCCACCTATGCTCTCATGCCTTAACTCAGTCTCTTACACATCCATTACATCCCCTAATCTTTCAAGCTCACCTTCCCCTATGTCTTCTACTGTCACTCATCCCTGATCTTCCTCCTTTCGATAGATACCCATTAGATACCCATTCCCATTATTGCAACCCCTTGCTTACAACTACCCCCGGACACTCCCTTTTTGTATTTCCAATTACCCCCTCTTTAAATTCCCCAACTCCCTACCCATTTCCTTCCCGCTCCCCAAACTCTTCTCCCCAGGAATCCCACTCCTCCACTTCCACATACATGCAGAATTCTCCACCCAAAACCCACCTTTGCATGGAATTCTCCCCCTCCCCATTCCTCCACAAGCCCCTGACCTCCACTCACTATATAAAGCTTCAGAAATCCTTTTTGTTTCACTTGGAAGTAGCAAATAATTGTTCGTCCTAAGACTACAATTATCTCTCTTCCGCCCCACCTCCACCCCTCAAGAACCTGCAATGGCAAGACAATCTCAGATATTCCCAAAGGACAAATCACAAGGCCTGTTAGCAATTAACAAATTCTCAGTAAGCAATATGCCAGCTATAGTTACTTTTGGAAGAGGCATTATAACTTGCTTGCAGTCTAGAAAACCATATGGTTTTTTATCCAGTTATTTTGACAATTGTATTAATTCTATTCAGACAGACCTTTTATTTTTTTATTAGTTTCATGTAATAAGCTGAGTGTAGATGGTGGGGACAGAAATCTTGATTGTGGATTTTACAGTAATGTCACTATAATGTACTTATATATATTTATGTAATATATAGTAAATAAAGTATGGGACATTGTTCACTATTATAACAATTTTAATACTATACCTTGTTTTTTGTCTATTCCCTTGCCTGCTCCCTGCACTAAAGTAAAACTTGCCTCCTCTCTGTCCTTTCCCATAGTCTCACCATTGGTTGTGTAAGAGTCTTCTGTGCAGCTCCCACCTTCTGGAGCAGTTGTCCAAGTAGACCGCTCCATCATTGAATCCCTACCTCTTTTTAAACCTTCTTTTAAACAAAATATTTCCCCCTCTCAGTCTACACCTCTTGAATGGAATCTTTTTATTTACCATACAATATCTTTCTACCAACATTCCCTGAATTTTACATTGTATGCTGCCTGCACATGGGTAGATCCAGTGAGGATTTGCACAGCCCCAGGGACCTGCCATAAAAAGGGCAGGATTGAGACCTAATTTTGCAAAGTGTTTTAGGGATACACCTTGTTTGGAAGGCACTATATAAAAATAAGTTCTGATCCTCAATCATTTGCTAGAATTACTAATCCCATTAAGTTGGAGTACTTATGAGAATAAAGATTTACAACAGCAGGCCCTAAATGGTGTATTGTTGTTTTCTTCTCCCCTTGGGTGACTTTAGTACTACCCTAGATTTGGATAGTTATTAGCACTGAACACAATTGCTAAATATAGTAACTGTACAGCCATTTTACTATGCAGTTTTGTCTCTGTGACCTAGATTCTAGTATTTTTTTAACATACATTTTCAGCAGACATTGAGAACAAAATGCCTGATGATATTTTGCATCACTAAACTCAAAATTCATCCAGGCACATATTCACAGAACTGATGTATTAGCATGGATTAATGTTTTTCTTTCTAACACATTACATGATAATTTCCTTCAAGATTATTACCCAAGGTCAAACTATGCACTAGGCCAGTAGCTTCTGCAGCAGTTGGGGAGTGGTGTGGGAAGGGAGGAATTCACCTACCTCCCAGGCTGCAATTTGCAAAGCTGCTCCCCAACTGTTATTCTCTGGGGTTACAGTAACCTTGTCTGCTGAGTGGTTCTTCCCATTCTGCGGAGTTTTGGCAGGTAGATCTACATAGTAATGGATCTATTGGTCTCATCCCAGCTATTGCCACAGTCCACCTCTTAAAACCTCCCCTGTGTGCTGGGATGGAGGGAGCCCCCCACCTCCAATCATGAGGCTGAGCTTTACCTTGCTCAGAATGTTCATATATGGTGTGTACTCTCCACATATACTCAACTCCACTCAGAGCCTTCCACGCTCTCATAGAGGGAGAGGGGAGAGAGAGAGATCCCTATTTGATGAAAGCAGTTACCCAGTTTTGGGAGTCTTCAAGGTTGTTTCATTTAGGAGAAGAAATTGGTGGTGGAGACAGGTATGGTATCTTTTTGATACAATCCTGTTTATCTACAATGAATTATAAAATCCTGTTTCCATGAACACAGTAGGACTCAAACAACAGAAGATTTGGTCATAGTTCCCAGCCTCTTTCTACAGCACTTTACCCAAAAGCTCTCTCATCTTTTTTCTGAGGCTACTGGGGCTTCTCTTGCTGTGCCTGGGCGTCTTTAATCTTTCCTTGTCTCAGCTGCTTCCCTCACATAGTTCCTGACTCCAGGGGCTAGGCCTTTAAGGAAAAAACATTATTGCAAAACTCACAATAAAATTACAAGAGTTGGTAACACTGATTTTCATTGCCCCAGCGCTGTTTCCAGGAGAAAGATTCTCCACAAAATGAAAAATCAGCATGTTTCAAGCTATTAAACATTTTATTTTGGAGCAAACAACAGAATCGCTTCTCCACCGGGTCACTGGTGGTGCTGCTGACAGCCGGAGGCTGATTTCCTTTTGCAGAACTGGACTTTGCCGCAGCTCCCGGCCCCTCCCGAAGCCCTAGGAGAGCAGCTCCCTGCAGTGGCCGAAGCAGGGGCTGCCCCGCTGAGAGCACAGCCTGGCCCCTCCTGCCTTTGCCGGCTGTGCTCGCGGGAAGAGGCTCTCGATAAAGTTAGATTTGAATAGCCAGGAGTCAAGATGGCAGCCTGCGTGGGGAAAGTGGCAGCAGGTAGACGCTGAGGGGTGCAGCGGGGGTGGGAAGGGGCGGTCTGCACGCGCCCGGGTTTAGCGTCTCCGGGAGTCGGCCCCGCCTTGTCCCCTTTCCAGGAGAGAGCCCTAAAGCACGAGCACGTTCAATAGCCCAGCTCCGTCCTCTCAAGGGGCCGGTTCGCAGACCCTGCACATGAGCTGAATAAGGGGGGCAGGTGAGGATGGGGAGAGACACGTGTTAAATGGGGGGTGAGGGGAGAGTTCATGGCAGGGGAATTGCACATGCTAAATATAGGGGTAAAAACAGGCTATACAAAGTACACCTGTCAGAGGAACAGTGTGTACTGACAACGGTGGAGGGCGTGGAAGGAGAATTGCACCTGGCAAAGATATTTAGGGGGAAGTGCAGATCACACATGCTGAATAGGTGGCTCCTCGGCACTGACTCAGTGGATGGGACATGGGACTTAGCCAAGAAACCTGGCTTGTGTTTTTTTGACTCTGCCATAGATTTGTGTGATGTTTGGTAAGTCACTTAGCTTCTGTGACTCAGTTTCCCTTTCTGTAAAATAGTTGTAGCCTTGTGAAAGCTATTGATATTGACAGATGATAATTTATTATTTTAATTAATTGTGAGAAGTAATGAAATTGTGTGACAAGTATTTCAGCACAGTTTAAATGCTCTACTTTTTTTTTTTTTTTTTTTGGTGTGTGTGTGATCCAAACTGCTGGGCTGTGGAGTATTACAGTTTTAGATTCTGATCCTTCAAGTTGCTCTGTAGCTTAACTGTAGCTGTTATGACTGGGAGTAGCAAGAAATGAATTCCTACTTCTTTCATCCCAGGAAACATAGCATAAAGGTCGGGTTGAGCCACTAGTGATGATAAAAAGGAAGTTGAAGTCAAATCTTCATTCATTCGTCGTATGATATTCCACTCTGTGTTCAAATTCTCTATTCTGTCCTGAGCACGTGGCAGCCCCATTGCTGGTAGTGCCTCACTCCACTCAACTGTTGGTGTTTTATAGGACAGGGATCTGTAAAAGCTACATAGAGGTTGAACAGAATCTAGAAGTCTAGAACAGAATCAAATTAGTCCAGATGCCTGGATGGCATTGTTTAATGACCCAAGTGGTTTCAACAGTAGACTTACAAGAGAGAAAATGGCAGTAGTCTTCTCTGAACGTAGTAGCAAAAGTAATCCACCAGCTTCACTACTTAGATTCATCCCATCTTGGTAGATACTTTCCAAAGTCAGTAATAATGGCTGGAGTAATTTTAAGACAACAGCCAAGGATCGCTCATGAGAAAGCCAGAGAGTTTTCCTCTGCAGTTTTAAGGGAGCGTTCCTCAAGCATACTTGAGAATTGTGCCTAAGGGCATCATCCTGTAACTGTGACTCTCATGTATAACCTCTCTCACATGTATTATTATTATTGGGTTCAATGGGACTCTGCATGTGTTTGATGATGTAACCATTACATTGGTTGTGCAGCTCCCATTGACTTCAATGGTGCAGGATCAGATACTTAATTACAATACATTACAAAAATAAAATATGTGCTGACTTAATTTTATGATGGATGCTGCATCAGCCCCCCAGCTTTTTAAATTGTTTTGTCTGTACTAGAGTGCAAGCTCCCCATGGAGGGAGCTATTTTTTGTGTGTCTGAATTCTGCTGAACACTCTACTGGTGGTCAGTGAACACCAATATAATGAATTGGACTGAATAGGTAGTCCAAATAGATACTGCTTAGAATCATTAAGAATTATTTTTTTAAAAGTGACATAACATGCATTCTGTAATCTCAGTGAAATGGGGAAGATGACAAAGAAATACATGAAAACAGGATCCACAGAATTTTCTTTAAAGGGCAATGTCTCTGAACCATCCCTAGAAACATGAGACACCTTTAGATGGGTACATTTAAAAAGTAGGTCTTCAAAATACCCCTTGGACACTGATGCTGACTGCATTAGAAGAAGAAAGAAAAAAGAAATTGCATGTAAGAATTTATCTAAACATGGTCAGCATTTGCAAATTTCAACCAGGAAAAATGTTTGTCAAAGTAGCTCTGGGCTACACAAGCAGAGAGCCTGGTTCTTCTCTTATATACAGTGGAGTAAATCAAAAATAATTCAGTTAAAGTCAATGGAGAGACATTTGTCTGACTAAAGAATCTATCTCAGAGACCAAAAAAAACAATCACCAGAAGAAAGCAAACATACTTGCTTTAGATTACAAAGGCCATGTTTACGCTATGGATGCTACAGCGGCATAGCTATAGCACCATAGCTATGCCACCGTAACCCAGTAGTGTAGATGCAGGCTACAGCAATGGAAGAGGTTTTTCTGTTGCTGTAGGAACTTCACCTCCCTGTGAGTTAGTGGCTAGGTTGACAGAAGCATTCTTCCATCATAGCGGTGTCAAAACCGGGGCTTAGGTTGGCCAAGCTATGGCGGTCAGTGGGCATGAATTTTTCACACCCTTGAGCATCGTAAGTATGTCAACCTGAGTTGTTTACGTGTAGACCAAGCCAAAGAATACAGAAACTGGAAAATACGTAAACCAAGGTATTCTGTATGTTCTACAAAACATCCAAAGCCTCAGTGCATCCTTGGCACAATTTCATAGCAGAATTGTGCATTTGAGGGTGTGAAGAAGTTGAGAATACATCAAAGGCTTCTGATACTCAAGCTTGGCCTTGAGGCATTGGGAGCTTTGACACTGTCTAAAGCAAACTGGCATAAAATGTAACCACTGGTTTAATGTATACATATTTTTATCTCATTCTGGCACCAGTAGTCTAGTGATGGGAGATATGCCATGCCCTGCCCTGCACTGCTTCCCCTGTCCTCACTGTAGCTCCCTGCCCCCCCAAAAAATTCCAGCACCCATTGTCAACAGATTAACTTTTTAGCAAGCCATTTTATGTATCAGGATATGCAGTTTCCTGCAATATCATGGACAAACTTTACTGAGTTAAGTTTAAGTATTTTAGGAGTTAATTGTATTAAAAAGGCAAATGTTTATGCATTATTGTGGGATTGTATGGGACTTCTTTAGGAAACATGACTAATGGAAGCCCTGGGAAGTGTTGTGAGCTTCAGAAGATTCTTCTAAACAATGGGCCAGATAGGAATGAACTTTTAGGGCAGGTCTACTTTACTGCTTGTCGATCTAACTT